AATCTACCTCAAATGTTCGTGGTAATTAAATGTATGTAAAATCCTTGGCACAAAAATTCTTCCATAAACCAGGCCTGCACTTTTTCCTCCTCTTCTCAAAGATGCATGGTTGAGGGAGAGGCAGTGAAGCAGCAGAAATAGGTTGAACCACCTGCTTATGCAGTTTCACTTGTGCCTCCTAGACCTACTTGGGTCCAGCGTCGAATATGCTGCTTCTATTTCTAATGGAACGCAGCTATACAAATTCAATTTTATGATGTGTAGGTTAGATAACACCCAGTTCATGATGAACGTTTGGATCCTGTAATAACTTGGTATGTCCCATAACCAGGCATTCAGTCTTTACCAAGGCCTAGTAGCATGCCAGAAGCTGCTTTTGTGACAGCACAGCCAAAACACCTGGGTCTACTAGGTCATAATATCCAAGTGATAGGGCAACTTGCATCATAGCCTGGACCTCTTGCAGGGTCTTTTCTAGATCTAAACCTTACTAACACTTTAGTGGTTCCCCACTAATTTATTAGAGGTTATCCAGTAAATAGCGCACCCAAATGTGACCAACCAGTATGTTGGCTCCAAACTCCAAACACACCACACATTGTTCCTCTTTCTTCACAGTGTGGTAAAAGGTGCAGCAACTTCCCTCTCACTTTAGAAGGGATATCCCAACATTTCCCAGACCCTGGGGCCACTAGAAACTTTCCTAATGTGAAAGCCTCTCAAGCTTCTACAAGATTTGTTTCTGACTCTCTGGCACAAATATGTCTGAGGCACCTAAGGTGCTTGTATTTTCTGCTCACAAGATCCAGTTAACATAATGGCACCAATTTAATGTACCAGTGCGATGGTCTCTGTTTTATCAGACTAAGGTCCCTTGCATTTTGCAGGAGAAAGCAGCAAGCACAACGGTAAGATACAAGAAAGCATTTGTCAGTTCAGTAGCTGAATACCAATTGCCAGGGTTTATTGTGATTTATTTCAGTAGATACCAAATCTAGGGAAAAAACTCCTTTGCACAGCTACTGATACACAAAATGATCAATAAAAGTCTTTCATAAAAATAGTACCTAGCATTGACCACAGTATGGGAAATGGGGGTACTCTTGTATGCTGCTCAAGGAAAACAGACAACTCCAGTCCTAATAATGTATATAACCAGTGACATAAAAATTCTACTTCTAAAAGTTTATGCTAAGAAATTTGCTAGTAACTAGGAAGAGCTAGAAATCAGTATTCAAGTGTGACTCCAAGAGCAACCCCTTTACAATCTACTAGGTTAAAAAACTTTTTTTAAATTTGCATTTCTCCAATTACCCACAAAGTTGAATCTTTCTAGATGTTTACTGGGTTTGCTCTTTTCTTAAATGTCCTATGCCCCTTTTGTCTTTGGGATATTCATTTCTCCTACTGATTTAGCTGCTAAAGATATTGACTACACTGGGTTACAAATATTTTCCCCAGCCTGTCATGTGTCTTCCCCCCGCCTACCTCATCCCCCACTGCCCTGAGCTTATTAAGGTGTAAATGGTATACAACAAACTGTACGTAATTCATGTATACAACTGGGTGAGTTTGGATGTATGTATACATTCATGTTGCCATCACCAAAATCCAGGTAATAAACATATCCATCACCTCCAAGTTTCCTTATGTCCCTATGTGTGTGTGCATGACTGTCTGTGTGTAAGAATACTTAACATGAGATCTACCCTCCTAACAAATTTTTAAGTAGAGTTGTTCCTCTGTATCCTGCTGGGGATTGGTTCTAGGACCCCCATGAATACCAAAATCTATGATATTCATCCTTTGTACAAAATGGCATGGTACTTGTATATAACCTATACACATCCTCCTATATACTTTAAAAAATCTCTAGTACTTAGAATACTGAATTCAATGTAAATAGTTGTTACATTGCATTGCTTTAAATTTTATATTTTTAATGTTGTATTGTTCTTTTTGATTGTTTTTCCCACTGAAATATTTACTATCCAGTTGGTTCAATCTGCAAATGTGGAACCTACACATGGAGGGCAGTTAACTGACTGTTAACTATAGGCACTATGTTGTTCTACAGCAGATCTCTGGAACTTACTTACCTTGTTTAACTTTATGCCCACTGAGCCTCAACTGCCCCCATCCACTGGTAACTATCATTCTATTGCCTACCTTTATACCTTTGTCTATTCTAGATGCCTCATATAAGAGGATTCATTTACTATTTGTCCCTCTGTGACTGACTTATTTCACTTTGCCTAATGTCTTCCAGGGATGAAGTTCCAAAATATATAGAGAACTTCTGCAACTCAATAGCAAAAAAGCCCAAATAACACAATTTTAAAACGGAAAAGGGACTTGAATAGACATTTATCCAAATGTCTATTTACATACAAATAGTCAAAAAGCATATAAAAAGGTGCTCCGTATCAAGGAAATCAAGGGAATGCAAATCAAAACCACAATGAGCTATTACTTCACACCTGTTAGGATGGCTATTACCAAATATTTTTATTTTGGATATAGTATTAACATTTCCATTATAGTTTTTTTCCCTTTGTTATAATGCTTGGAAGGACCATGCCCACTTAAGACCAAATAAACATTCACCTACATATTCTACTTCTTCTATAGCTTATTTTAAAAACATTTGACTTTTGATTTATTTAAAATTTATTATAATATAACAGCCCCCCATTCTCCACAAGATAAACAATTATTCTAGCATGGTTTCCCAAATAGCCCTTCTTACCAATTTATAATCCCTCTATTATCATATATCTAGTTTTTATGTACACTAGGATCCTTTTTTTAGATTTTCTATTCTTGTAGCAGTATATTCTTACACTGGTACCACTTTAAAATTTTAAATTATAGTCTCTTAAAGCAAGTTTTCTTTTTGTCCTTCAGGAAAAGATATTCAAGTACAGTTGTCAAAACTTCTAGATGCCAAAACACATCAAAAGCAACAGATATGAAAATGGGTATGTTCAATATATATGGCATTCAGTAAGAGAAACACTTACATTCCAATGTCAAATACAAAATGATTAACACAAGAAGATAAATGATATACAATAGTGAAATACTTTCTTCCTCACTGACCAAGTTAAAAAAATTTAAAAGACAATCTGTAATACTGGCAAGGTTATGTGAAGAAAATGCTGCCCATACTCATTAGTACAATGCTAAAAGAAAAGGGCAAGATTGTATGTACACATGTAATAATTTTTTAAAAGACTGGAAGAAGCCTGGGCAACAAGGTGAGATCCTGTCTCTGCAAAAAATAAAAAATTAGCCAGGCATGGTGGCATGCACCTATAGTCCCAGCTACTCAGGAGGCTGAGGTGGGAGGATCACTTGAGCTGGGAGGTCAAGGCTGCAGTGAGCTATGATCGTACTACTAGACTCCAGCCTGAGTGACAGAGCAAAGCCCTGTCACAAAAAAAAAAAAAAAAAAAAAGCCTGGAAGAAATACAGCAAAACGTTAATAATTGTTATTTTTTGGTAATACTTGCCAGGCACCTCTACATTTTTTAAAAACCAAGTGGCTTGTAGTTATGATATGAACTAACCTATGTGCCAGATACTGTGCTAAGCAACTGCCTCACATCAAGAAGAAATTTTGTAGCTGTGGAAACCAGGCAAGTTAGTAAACTCTCAGCCACAAAAAAGTCTAGTAAGACTCAAACCCAGGTCTAATTCCAAAGCTTGTTCTCTTTGAACTAAGCACATGGGGTATTGCATCATAATGCAATACCGCTTCCTTAACCTCAGAAAGCAATTCAAGCTAGCTAGTGGAATATTATTAGATTGAAGCTGGGATTTCTACTGTCAACAAAGGATCAATTGATATAACCACCCAATACACAAGTTGAGCTGAATTGTGTGATTAAGAATCAGTAATCAAGACAGCTAAAACAGTGGCCTTATAAAAAAACTAGTAAGTAAAGTGTTATCACTTTCATTTTCTAAAAAATAAAATTGAAAGATCCCAGAAGTACAGTAAAAATATGAATCCACATCTGCTCTTTCCATTATATCACACTGCCTTTCTGCATAAGAAAGAATTGCACAGCAGCCTGAGAGCTGACTTCAGGCACCCACAGCTATGAACTAACTCATCAGTGTTCACTTTCCACTGGTCTTTTGGCTCTCCACTTTTTTTTTTTTTTTTGAGACGGAGTTTCGCTCTTGTTACCCAGGCTGGAGTGCAATGGCGCGATCTCGGCTCACCGCAACCTCCGCCTCCTGGGTTCAGGCAATTCTCCTGCCTCAGCCTCCTGAGTAGCTGGGATTACAGGCACGTGCCACCATGCCCAGCTAATTTTTTGTATTTTTAGTAGAGACGGGGTTTCACCATGTTGACCAGGATGGTCTCGATCTCTTGACCTCGTGATCCACCCTCCTCGGCCTCCCAAAGTGCTGGGATTACAGGCTTGAGCCACCGCGCCCGGCGCTCTCCACTTTTTTAATCCAGAAAAGTTCAAAAGAAAATCTTACTGTTTCGAGACAAGTTGTTGTTTTACTGCCTTTTGTACATATGGGTGATGAGATTTGAAGATCAGCATAGATGAGCTGTTCACAAAGATTTTTTTTTTTAATGAAGAAAAGATGCGCAAAGCAAACTTTTGGATACTTACAGCCTCAGTAGGTGTCTTCTTCAGTTTAGTCCTGTCTACTTTCATGATTTCAATTTTCAGCTTTACGATCTGAAAAGAAAATGCCAAAAGAAGTGAGAACTTAAAGCTGCAATCTTGAGCTCTACAAGCCTGGACATAGACAATACAGACTGAAGAGCAATGCAAAATACTTAAAAGTAAAAACATTGGAGTTATGATGGTATGCCAACTCAAAGGCACAGCTACAAGGTAGAGAGAAGCAAAGAATCTCTCCCTATCAGACTGGCCCACATCCCTATGTTGCACAAGACTGAAACCAAATCAAGCCAAAATGAAAACTTGTTTTTCTTTTACAAGCACCTCAAACTCTTAATTGAAAATTAAAGTGTACAATGTTTGCAACACATCTCAAGATGGAAAAACTCACCACAGCCCTGCAGTTTCCTGAAAACTTCCATTTCTAGGAATTAATCCAAAGAAAGTTGTAAAGATATATACAAATATTTAACCACAAGAATCCATACTGCATGGCCATGAATAATAGTAAAATATTGAAGACGACCTACTGTTCCATCACAAGGCTTAAAAAAAAGACCAAATGTCCAAAATACGATTGGTTTTAAATGGAATATCGCACAAATGTTAAAAATATTGCAGACAACTATATAATACGCAACGATGTTCATCAGGAAATAATGGACATGAAACATATGGTATAAACTTATGTCTAAAGAAAACAGCTAGAGGGGCTAGGCATCAGGATATTAATTCATTGTTAACCAAAAGGATTTTGTATGAGTGTTTTACCTATGCATCATTTACTGTTCCTACCAATAAAAATATATTGGTTATATCATAAGAGCAAAGGCAAAACAATACTTTTATTTTTCAATTAGAAAATGAAATATAAGACTCTCATTAGAAATATTCTGAGCACAGAAAACAATCATTTTATTAAGACATGTAATTTGGAAGGCTCAAAAGCAGACAACAGCCTGATCAGATCCACTGTATAATCCCTAGATCTTTGCTGGCAGACAAGTCCTCCAAAGCACAAGAAGTAAGTTTCTCCTGTTAGCAGCTAAGACACATGCACAGAGGTAGAAGTGGGTTGCAGGCTCTTTACACACAAAACAAGATTCTGTTATTAACAATGTATTTAGCTCAGTAGCAGTTATTAGAGATCAATGTTCCTCCCCTCAAGAAGGCTGCCATAATATAAAGCTGACCAATTACAATATAAATTGTAGGCAGCTTTTTGCCTAGATTTAGTCCAATATACTCAGTACTACGAAAATAGTGTGTATTTGCCTGTATGATCTGCATCCATTCAATCAACAGGCATTCAAGGAAGAGTTTGTGAAAAATTCAGAATATATTCTATAACATTTCTGTAGAGACCATTCCTTAAGAAGTTTTCTCTCTACAGTAGATATTTAGGGTATATAATTCCAGATTACTTTTTTAAAAGTTATCTCAGTACCTAATACAAAATGAACAAAATGCCTGCTGCAAACAACCTCAAAATATCTCAAATGAGGCTAACAGGATTCTGGCAACAATCCTGTCCATGTGGTGGAAACTACAAGCTGAGCTATTTGTACACTTACTCTCAAAGATTACTTTTTTCCTCCCCTTTTCTTACAAACGTCTTACACATTACTTATAGCAAGTGGCTGTCACACTATTGTGGCTTCAGTCATTTGCAGGGAGGCTATTAAACTGCCCCTGCTGCAAGAAGTAGCAGCCAGCCTCAAACCATACAACTCTAATAACTGATGCTTTCCCTCTAAGATCAGGAACAAGGCAAAGATGTTTTTTATAACTTTTATTGAACATACTAAAAGTTCTAGCCAATACAATATAGCAAGAAAAAGAAGTAACAGGCTCACAGATAACAAAGGAAAAAATAAAAACTGTCCCTATTTGCAGATGTCAAAGGACCATCCACATAGAAAACCCAAGAAATCTATTTTAAAAGCCTCCCAGAGGATGGGCGCAGTGGCTCACACCTATAATCCCAGCACTTTGGAAGGCCAAGGCTGGCAGATCACTTGAGGTCAGGAGTTTGAGTCCAGCCTGGCCAACATGGCAAAATCCCGTGTCTACTAAAAACACAAAAACTAGCTGGCTGTGGTGGCAAGTGCCTGTAATCCCAGCTACTCAGGAGGCTGAGGCAGGAGAATTGCTTGAACCTGGGAAGTGGAGGTGGCA